GTTTGGGGTTCGGCCCAGTCTCTATTTCAATTAATCCCATATGTTCTGTTATTTCATTTACACGTTTCTCGTTTCACGCGGACCTCCACGGGTTCAATTGACTGTGTAAATGCAGACTATACTGTACAAAGATTCATTTCACCTTTTGATTTACTCTGCACTTTTCTGGCACTATCTTATCAAAGCTGTTGTTTCTTCCTCTCCCAAAACTGAAGCACATTGCTTTTTTACACACAGATTAGATATTTACTTAAGTCTAGCACAACGAATTCTTCCTAAACAACTACAAGTATACTGTATATACCAGCTAAAAACTAAACAAAGTTTAACAATGTAGAACCCTCACAAATAATCTGGTAAAACACAGTGGTGCTAGAAACTGGATATAATAGCATAATGCCTTAGTTAGGTTTACTCTTTAAAATTTATTGGTTTCTAGAAACCATACAACAGTCATAAAACAATCATTACTTTATGAAAGAGTGTTTTATTAGATGTGAAGTGGAAAACACATAAAATATTATTTATCATACATTTATTCTCAACACTGCCTCCAACGTCAGTGTAGATTATATACTGTATAAGTCAACATTACAACTTGAGTAAAACAATATTATGGAATTGCAAAAGAAGTATATATGTAACAAGCACCCAAACTACTAATTAACTAACTAACTATCTATATCTATATAGTTTCCTTCAAGGTGGTAAACTGTGTGTGTGTGTGTGTGTGTGTGAGAGAGAGAGAGAGAGAGAGAGAGAGAGAGAGAGAGAGAGAGAGAGAGAGAGAGAGAGAGAGAGAGAGAGAGAGAGAGAGCGTTCACTGGCACCGGTTTTCTGTACGTACAATAAAAAAGTACAGTAGTGTAAGTAGCAAAGGCATTACACGGATATGCAACTACCAGTGACCATAACTTGTGCAACAAGAATTATAAGTAATAAATAAGTTATATGCCATGGTCTCTACACCCTAGTCTTGTGTGTCTGTGGAAGAGGTAACAAAATATTTGGAAGTTTACTTAAGGTTCACATACTCATCCTGGTTAATTGTTTCCTTATACAGTACAGTAAAACTATAAATAATCATCTAAAGTTGTTGTCATGCACTACAATATTCATTTCATTACAGGAAATCATAGTCAAATAGCTTGACATTATGGAGGAGAATCGGTAACTTTTACTTAAAGCAAACCTGAGAGGAATCCTGTAATTATCACATATGAAGGTCATATAATAAATCATTCACACAACACATGTAACCACAGACAAACATGCACTTAAAGTTTAATTCACTTCTCTAAAAACAGATAATGATAATTTCTACCAAATTGGGGTTTTTGAAAAAGTACAAGAGTTAAAAAGTCAATATTCACATATAAAAATAGATTTTATCATAAAAATCTGACCGAGATTCTTCAGAGCTAACGAAAACACATTTCATCATCCTTCTGTACTTTGTTCAAGGACCACAGTTTTGTAACTTACAGTACTTACCACTGCTTTTCTTTCATCACTTACCCTTATTATTGGGCTAAGAACTTTTCTTAAACTCATCAATAGTCTCCGAGTTAACTAAAAGAAATAATTAACCTTATGTCTAAATACAGTAATATCTCCGTTAGCCGGAAACCTTAAACCTGGAACTCTCCAATAGCCGGAATTGAAATTTGTTTGGAATTGTTCCAGAAAATTCCCAAAATTCCAGGCCTGAGAACAAATTCCAAGGTTAAATATCAGGAGTATTTTCTGGAAAAAAGGGAAAATCTGTCCAAATTTTTATTTCTGGGTCAAGGAGCAAATATCGAATATGCAATAATGCGCAATTACCAGATAATCTAGGAAAATTGCTCCAAACCAGTGGCGGTGCCAAGGGATGGCTGCAGCCTCCCCTAATCTCCATCAGCCCCCCCAAAAAATAATAAGGCGCTTTTTCGGAATAGCCTTTCAAAAAACTTTATCATACCTTGCGATTCCACCACAGAACAGAATTCTTCCACCACTAGCAGCAAGCACAAACATAAATCATGAGGCTGTGGCTGGCAGTATAACGTTATTGAATAAAAATTGTCGTCTAGGAAATTATTCAACGTCTGGGCAGCTCTACAGTATGCCGTATACAAGTTACCATATTAATTTCTGCACAAATAAAATCCACAGCTATCACGGTATGATTTCTGCGGATAATTTCTATTTACCTGTACTTACGTAACTGAAGCAGCTTTGCAAACGCAGCTTCGAGAAGAGTCCCATAGCCCCCTCTTCCAATCAGATTGCCACCCCTAGCCCCTCCTATATAGAAATTCTGGAGCCGCCGCTGCTCCAAACCTTTCTGCTCAGGTCCTGGGGACAAGGGTTCCTAGCGTTATGAAAGACTGCATCATGTTTAGCCGCATCCTCACACGGTTGGTGCCTGGGTGGGAAGACCAACCGCTTGGGTAACGCTGGATTTTTTCTGCTCATAGTCTACAGGCATCCCACGCGTTACGGAAGGGTTGCGTCCCTGGAAAATTGACCGTATCGCGAAAATTCCGAAACGCGAAACCTATTTTCCCATTGACTTCCATTATAAAACTGGAGATGCGTTCCTAAGGAACTTTTTTCGGCCCCAAAAAAGTAATTCAAGCACTTTTATTAATGAAAATAAACATTTATAACACATACAAAACAGTACATTAAATAATTTATGATATACAGTACCTTCTTAAAACATCAAGTTTAATATCCAATGTAATGCCTTTGCGGCTTCTTTTTGCACTACTGCGGTCACTTCCACTTGATGGCCTCTTTCCAGTCATCTTGAATAAGGGTAATGCACTGTACTGTACTTACTGTATGTTTGTAAAAGTTAAACCCAACTGCTGGGGCGAGAAACATGTGCGCACACTGGATGTAAACAATGGAGTGACTCCGAGTAGCGACGCCACGCTTGATGGTAGCAAATACCAAGAAATCCACACCAAACAAAATATAATTTAAATTTTTTTTAAATTTTATATACAGATTTTTTTTTTTAATTTAACCCAATTTCCGTAAGGGCGGATTTATGGGCCGTATCACAAAATTATTGGTCATAATTTACAAATTCCATGAGAGCAAAATTCCGCAGTCCGGAGTTCCGTAACGTGGGGGATGCCTGTATTTATAATAACTGTATAAATATAAACACTTCTTCAAATGTATATACAATACTAAAAAAGAAAAATAATACAGTAATAAATCATTGTAATTCTGAGCCGAGCTAACGCGGCAAAGGACAGTGACATACCAAGACACCTACACATCACACACATTAACAACACTACTAAACCATTGTCATGTAATATTTTACTTTATTTTAAAATTAATTGATACATGATGGCTGGATTTGACTATTTTTGCATTTGGACTACTGATCAGTGAATAAACCAGGGCATATGGAGATGCCGTATACATTAGTGATGTCACAAAGCTTCACAACTGCAGAGCAACTGCATAAATTATCACAACCTGTACTCAAATATGCTAAGTTAATTACTAAAATTATTATATCTAGTGCAAACTAAGGGATATTTATACTCAAATTAATTGCTATTTTGCAAGAATTCCAGCAATGCAAGTTATATTCTCCTAAGTCAAGTTAGTGCCATTTTATAAGCAAAAAAATTAAACCCCCTGCCTTTCATAATCCTTGAGTCCCTGACAACTACGTAGTACGTATTAATCTTCCCTCCTGGCTGTCAACAACCCACCTCCCCCTGCTACCAGTCTGCCTGAGAGGCAGATGGGGTGTGTGAAGGTTGTTTTAGGGTTTAAAGTTTGCTTTAAAATTTCAGAATTGACTTAGCAGAATAAAACTTGCATTGCTGGAATCCTTGCAAGAAAGTGAATAATTTGAGTATAAACAACTCGTACAGTTTCCTCAAGCGATAAAATTTTTAGTCCTTTTGCATAATACATTTGAGTACAAAATGAGTACAGTAATATGCTGCTCAAAATTATGCCTTTTTCAAATGGAAAAGTCTGTATAACTAGCCCCAGTGGTTAGGATATAATGGTATTGAATCTTAAGAGGATTTCGAATAAATTCTTTGTTTCCTTCTATACATAGAGACTTAGAGATAGAAACTGTAATAATTTGAGCTTATTAATACGAGTACCCTTCATATACAGAAAAATACTGTACTTATTTTTATCTTATTATTCGGCTTGTCATTTAAGGATATTGAAGTGGATACTCTCCCCTACAACTGCCAATGCCGTTTGTCGCTGACCAGCCGATCCCTTTTCGAGTTTCCCAGTCAAAGCCTCGTGGTCTGACAGAGCGGGGTCGGCTATCAGTGACGTTTACTTCTGGCGGACCTCCCATATAAGCTCCCAGCCTCGCCTTGAAATCCCTTCTACCTAGAGCCCCGCAACACGTAACGCCTCCTCTAAAGAAGCTCCTGCACAGCAATTCCTCTACCACGCAGCAAATTCCCAGCACCAGACTGCACTGTACATACAATATATTTATATAAGAAAACCGCCATAAAGAGTTTCCTTTCTCCAACCCATCCTGAGAGCGAGTCATAACGTTAACACAACAATATCATATTGGAAACTTCTCGTAGAGATTTTATTCAGGATCATTATGGTATCAAATTTATCTCTCTAACACAAATAGAGGTTTATAATGAATACTGTGAGGTAGGGAGGGGGGGAAGGAGGGGGACAGGGAGAGTCCATTGGAATGTGACTCACTGATTCATTGTCAGCAAAATGCTTCATTCATGATACAATATTGTTCATTTGTTTTTGATAAATTTGTAGATACGTTACCATAAAAATCTGTGCTTATTAATATCTGTACCCTTCATATACAATACAGTATACAAGTACAGTACTATGTATATATAGTACCTCAATGGTAAAAAAATAATGTCATTCAAGACATCTTCAGGTCATAAGACCCGTTAATCCCTCACCCAACAGTGGGTGACCTGACATTGCATTTAGGATTATTTAAAAAAAAAAAAAAAAAATGGTGTCTAACAAAATTAGAACTTATTTTATTGACACGGTATCAACACTTCTTACATTTTTTTTTATTTTTTATAAAAGAATGGAATTCCCATCATTATATTATATCAAAATATTTTGTTTAAGGATCTTATTGGAAATGTCTTGGAGAGAATTTATAAAGGATCATTATGGTATCAAATTCATCTCCCTATCACAATTAGCCAAAAAGGTTCAACTTCCCCACTCTCAGCCCAATTACCCACATTGTGCTACATTTACCAACATTACACCCCTACATCACACACACACACACAAACACCCCCTCCAACAACCACCCACACAACCCTACACCCTCCAACACCATCCTTCCTTACCCCACATAACCCACACCATCACCACCCACACACCCCCAACAAGGGAATTAAGACAGAAAGCAAGAGGAATGACCCGAATGAGGGTCTTATTGTATGACAAATTTGTGTGTGTGTGTGACTACGTGGTAGCCAGTTGAATATCATTTGTTGAGTGCTTGGCAACACTGATTTCCACTCCATCTCTCTAATTACTGACACCTCTGCTTTCTCACTCGATATTTTAAAATGTTATGTACAGTCACCAAAAAAGGCATGTCGCCTCTCATCCTGAACCATGAACCCTGAGATTCAGACTCTTGAATCCGAAGCATTTATGGACAGACTAATGTATCAGTTTCTACTGCTTCGGGTTCACGAGTCTGAATCTCGGGGTTCGTGGTTTAGGATGAGAGGTGACAGGACTTTTTTGGGCAACTGCACTGAAACGTTGAAAGGATATAACTTTGCCCATTTATACTTATACTTATCACAATCTCCCTAAAAATACTTTACGTTTAATGTTTACTCGAGACATCTTCAGGTCATGAGATCCTCTAATCCCCCACCCAAGAAAGGGTGACCTGACATTCCATCAGAAGGTCAGTATGTAATGGGAGACCAATAATCCCCCACCCTACCTCCACCTGACATTACATCAGGTCAGTTACACTATACCCGGTAATCCCCCACAACTCCATGGGAGTGAAAAAATAAGTCTTTGCTGTAACACAGTTTCATTCACTCCCATATCCTAAAGATTTTTAATTTTTCAATAAATTTATTTAACCAAACTTTTAGATAAACTATTCTGGATTATTATAGGAAAGAAATGGAGTTTCTAACTTAATTAGAACTGCATTTACGGACTCCGGTAGTTTAGACTCAAGGAAAATATCCCCAGCACCCAGAAACATTCGGGAAAAGTGGGCTAGTGTCTGTCTGTGCAAGATGTCTAGTTTAGACACTCGCAAACCTTTCCCAGTAACCGGAAAAGATTCCAGGGATAGGGACTTTTTCCAGGTTTAAGAAAGTCGTTTAGTGAGCCGGAAATCTCTCATCCCCGGAAGTGCTCTGCACCAGTTGTTTTGGCTAACGGAGATATCACTGTACTGTGCCTCAGCTGCATTTTCATATACAGGGTACAGGCAAAATATTATTCTACCACATCTACAGACTGTATGCATAATATAAATTATTCATTATTACAAACATAAGAGCATCAATATAATTAATGACTTTCATTATTCACTGCCATACTAGACTAGTGGCAAGAATATCTTGGACTTGCTGTAGCAAAACATGTACAGTACTCTGTAAGCTAAAACCACTAGAACCTAGATCATGTAAATAAATGCTGCACCAAGATATCATTATGGATGATATTATACAGTTTCTTTGAATCATTAAAAGCATTAATACCACAATAAAAATTACAACTATTGCAAATTTAGAAAAGACACTATAAGAAGACACTTAATAATTATGAAAATATGTTTCGTTAAGCCACAGTATTTGATCATATACATTTAAATAGCCCCAAGCTTCAACATTAATCAAATATATTATGCCATACATGTTACTCAACAATTACATAAATTATGGTCCCCAGTGATTCAACATACCCAAGTTGGTACTTCCTTTGACATGCAGTGAAAACACTGTTATGTCCTTTTGTGTTTAAATTACACTATTGTACTTAAAATAAAAATGCTTTAGGGTGTTGTTTCCTCTAAGAATCTTCTGTAAAATAACAAAAACATTTACCAGAATTAAAGCTTTTAAGTCAGAGGAAGTACATATTCTACATTCTTTGCACATTAACAAACAATATCAACATCCACATTTTTCACCATTAGTTTGAACACAAATGTTTACTATGCAACACAAATATTACAAGGGTGCATAGTACAGAGCCATGGAATATCCAGTTCACATCACACATGGCCCAAATAAATATTCACATTGAGTTACTGTGTGAATTTTTTGTTTGTGGTACGGAAGTGTTTTGTGATTCCAAGACAAACTTCAAGAAAGAATCCTCACCTTAAAAACTATAAAATATTGTACACCTGAACACTACAATAATATGCAGTGAAGGCCAGTTATAATGTATACAAGGAACTAAGAGGTTTATCCTTGGTAAAAGTTCAGTTACTGTACTGTGGTTTTGTATATCCAGCACTGTACAGTACTTGCACCTCCTTTAGTATTATATCATAGCAAATAATCTTAGATTTTTCATTACCCTCATTAGCAAACTTATACCAACTTTTGTTTCATAAAAGTATTCCAACAAAGTTTATCGCTATTGTAGAGCAGTAGGTAAATAAAATAATTTGGGCCATGTAAAATACAAGAAAGACTGGCAGTGATACACAAGCCATTAAGGGGTAATTTGTGCCCTATAAGCTCTCAGAATACATGTAAAAGCCAAGTTCCTTAGCTGAGAACTGTTAATACCATCTAGAGCGCTGCAGGGAGATCTGATCCATCAGGGAGCGAGCTTGATGCGTCACATACATCTGACAATTAGAAATAGAGCAAATGAAATTACAGCTAAAATTAACACCTTTAACTTTATAAAGAATGAGTTTTGACCCCTAGCAATTCATCTACAGTATGTTTTAAGAGAGGAAATGTGTAGTGACTTGTAAAGGCTGCTTGTTGTCACATGAAATCATACTGATGATACTGGTTGATGGTCCTGATGAAGGATTTTGAAGGCATAATGGTTCCTTGTCACAGATTTTAGTAGTCTTCTCTGTTACTTCCTTGAAAAGAATAGTATATGTGGTAGCAGATGTTTTGTGAAATAAGTAGCAAAACAAATAAAATCTAAAATCATACACTGTAGAGAATAAAAGTACAAAAGTACATAAAGAATAAACAATAATGCACTGTACCTGTACTGTTTTACAAACTATTTCATAAATATCTACTACTGTACCTCAAACACAGTTTTTCTCAAGAAAATAGCAGAGAAATGTACGTGAACTAATATTACGAACAAGAAACCAATAAACCTTCAAAATCCTGTCAGGCCCATCAACCAACACTACCATGATTGTATCATACTGCACGATCCTGTGAGATGCAGCATCTGGCATAAGTTACCTTGATTCTCTGGTTTAACATGACCAATGTAAATTTCAAGGCTAAGTGAACACAATACTGTATTAATATTCTATTCACAAAAATATATAGGCAATCAAGGTATAAGGCTATATATTCAATCATACAATAATTATTTATGAATTCCTTTACTTCTTGGAAATGTCTCCACACAGGAAAAGTTGTTGGGAGTCAGACTTAAGCAAACCCAAGAGATAGTGTGATGTTGACCTATCTGGTCAACTTTAAACTTGTAAATATAATGCACTTAATGATTTTTTCTTGATTAAAGCAAGCATACACTGATGTGTTATCTTTATTTTGTATAGAAATAAATCATACATTCAACTGAGTTTGTGAGAGTTCATGTGTGGAAGCAAAATGACTAGTACACTGGAAGGCATAGGACCCTAGGGTAACATGGCTGACCAAGGACCCAGGAAACTGGAAAATCCTCAAAACTGGTTCGGCGGTGGTCCCAAAGGTCCTAGATTTCAATATCTACAGTATACCTAAACATAAATTTTGATTTCAAAGTTTATTTTGTGTTAATATTGCCTAACTTCCTGAGGTAGAACTTCAAGGGCAAATCAAGGAATATCAAAAGGTAAGGGGTCCAAGAAGCTGTGGGTGGGGTAACATGGCAAGGACAGCGAGCCCACCCAGCTGGGGGGTTTTGGGGAGGGGGACATTTTGAAACTATGTGCACTTGATATTAGGAGATATTCTAACGTCAATAGTAATTACTTTGTACTATACAAAAATGCCTGACTAAAATACTGCAATAAAGAAAACTATTAGAATTTCCTGAAGAAAAAAGGGGGTGTTTGGACCCCAGGACCCTCCTGTATCTGCCCCTGAATTTTTATTCATTTTGAAAATTTTACAGAATTTGTTGTACTGTACAGTATATAAAAACTCATACAATGGTAGAAAAAAGTACTTTATGTAAAGCTCTTTAATAAAAACTCTGGCTGACACCATACCTGAAATAGTGTGATGCCAAATATGACTCCTGCAGCCCAGTAGAGGTTGGATTCTAGGAACTGGATGATGGAAGTTACACAACCTCCAACGTGTATTGTGTCTGATGCTTCGTGCGGCTGAAATAATTTTAAACTTACATGAGGTATATAAGTCACATCAGGAAATACGGTAAGCCACAGACGAAAAGAGAAAAGATGAAAGTAACAAGATTACTTCTGACTGTATGATAAAAGTTTACAAAAGCAGACCATGTGTCACTAAACAATAATGGACTGAAAACCCACTTGAAAGTTACAGTAAAAAAAACACCAGGATACAGTATGCTGCCATGACTGTTACTGGTAAGTAGTCATATATGGAGAAATATGGACACACAAACACACATACATGCATACAGAGGTGGACAAAAGTCAGTGCCAGAAAGATGCTGCCACTGCCTCTCCCACACTTGATGTAGCCCTCAGGGCCAGCTCTAGGCTCTGAGGGGTCCTGTGCAAAATAATGGTTGGGGGCCCCCATTCCTTAGACCAGTGATTCTCAAACTGGGGTCCACGGACCCCTAGGGGTCCGCAAAAAGTTTTTGAGAAATAATGCATTTAACGTTTGTGAGAGATTTGGCGATTCCAATTCGCAGGATATTTTGGATTTGGGTTAAAATGAACAAATGCTTTGGTTGAAAAAAGTTTGAGAACCCCTGCCTTTGACAACCTTCCCAGGACTTCTCTACCATCGTGCCCAGTTCCTCACCTACATATATTCTTGATTTTCTGTGACATCATCATAATCTTGCTAAAAGTGCACACCCAATATATTTACAATTATATAATACAATATATATACAGTGACCCCTCGTTTAACGAACACTTCGGTTAACGTAATTTCGATTAACGAACTGCCTTCCATAAGGATCTTCAATTCGGTTAACGAAAAAAAATTCGGTTAACGAAGTTCTTACGAACCGACCTCAACATGTTTTCGCTTGCACTGACCGGGCAACCAGCTTTAGTATCAGTCCGCCAATACATTAATCGGTTCTAGGGCTTAAATTCCTTACTATTTTAGTAAATATCAAGAAGTTTATACTATTCAATAATTTTAAAAGTTTAATATTCAAATTTTTAGTCATTTTAACAATTATTGAACATAATTGAAGGTAAAGTGACTAGTTTAATGTGCGGCATCCAGCCTCTTAACACAGCAAACAGGAGTTAGTCTCTCTCTGTTTTCACTGGAGGTAACATCTTGCTTGAGACTCTTCAACTAAACACTTTTTTTCTGTGTTTCCAAGCAAATTATTGGTCATTTTGAAATATATTTTACATATTGACAATATATAATGCAGTGCAGTATTCATTTAAAGAAAATAATCTTGAATTACACCAGAGAGCTAAAATTTTATGGGTGAAATGGCGCCATGGGGTGACTTCTCTTCCACCCCAATGCCTTCTCTTCTTCCTTCTCCTCCACCCCCATTCTAAATCCCATCATCATCATCATCCAGGAGCCTTCTACGTACACACCTCAAAGTAAGTGAACTTTTCGGTGAGCTGGAACCAATTACCCAAAAACCCATTGAAACAATGGTTTCGGTTAACGAACGACCTTCTGGAACGGATTGAGTTCGTTAACGGAGGGGTCACTGTATATATATGTGTGTGTGTGTGTGTGTGTGTGTGTGTGTATACAGTGGGGTATGCTATAACGAACGGATCCTACTGCGAATATTCCTATAACGAACGGTTTTACCTATAAAATTGAGAATGCTATAACGAACGAAACTCCTACACCGAACATTTAATTTATTTTTTTTTTTTTTTTTTTTTTACTAATTTATTGTTTTTTTATTACAAGTATTAATGATACTCTTTATTTCAGGGGTTTAGATGCATATTTATGCACTTTTTACAATTTTTACAATTTTATATTATATTTTTCAGTGTTAAGTGGTTGTATTTGGGGCCTGGAACGGATTAATCCTATAACGAACGAATGCTATAACGAACAAGGTTCTAGAACCAATTAGATTCGTTATAGCATACCCCACTGTATATATATATATATATATATATATATATATATATATATATATATATATATATATATATATATATATATATATATATATATATATATATATATATATATATATATATATATATATATATATATATATATATATATATATATATATATATATATATATATATATATATATATATATATATATATATATATATATATATATATATATATATATATATATATATATATATATATATATATATATATATTTCATGTAGATCCACAATGAAAACGTGGATAAGATAAATCTTGATAAAATCACACGGGAAAAAGGGAAACAACGGAGCTAGTTGATTAAGGAATTGAAATCAATAAACCTTAGTGATGGTCAGTTCAAAACTGATAATATGTTACATAAATTTATTTATCAGTGGCCCAAGGTTAAAAATGCTTTGAAAACCTTTGATATAGTTGTATGATAGTTATTTTGTGGGTCCCTTATTTTTTACCTGACCTGACTAGTCACATCACCCCCCATTTTCTTAAGCTCCTCTACGTGTGTGTTGGTGTGGGGATTAGTGGATGACATCATTATGACCTGACCTCATGTTTTTAAGATCACCCTGTATATTTAAGCCTCTCTCTGTCCATGTAATCCAGTTGCCTCTGAAGATGTCTTGAATAAAGACGAAAGCTAAGGTGCTCCGTTGTTTCCCTTTTCCCGTGTGATTTTATCAAGATATATATATATATATATATATATATATATATATATATATATATATATATATATATATATATATATATATATATATATATATATATATATATATATATATATATATCGTGTGTGTGTGTGTGTGTGCTGTTAAACTTAACACAATAATTCAGTGTACTGTACTAAATAATAAAGTTATGTGAACATTGTAATTTACTACCGTAAGTGTTTTGGGTGAAACATGGTCATATAACTAACCTTTTTTGACTGCATGTTGTATCCACACATAATATCAATGAGAGTCTGGAAGACAAAAGAAATTAATAAGATGACTCAAACAGAGACTGGGTTAAAAGTAAAGCCCTACCATAAACATTTTGAGGTTGCTCTAATTATGTATTATCAAATGTGGACATTTCTACAAAACCTGAATTACCGTGGTCTGGTATTGCCCATCAGACTATGATTTTTTCCTCCAAATATTTTTGATGCTTTAAAATAGCCTGTGTGGAAGCTAGGTTTTATCCTCACTTTCCCAGTTACAAAATGATCAAAATTGCATTGCTGACCAAGTGCAGTATTGTCTATACCCTATACACTCTAAAAAGAGTTTAGGAATTTTCTGTCACTTGGGGGTTGGGGGTGTGGTACTGTATAAGGGATTAAGGTTGAGTTGAAGTATAATTTTTATGTTACTTTTGGAAGTTCATATCTTAATTACTTTAATAATTGTGGGTAATTTTAACACCAAATTCAATTGGTTTGCTTTCATTGTTCCCAGTTAGAATGATACTGTAAACAAAGTGGCTCTATAAAGTGCTCCATTTTTCAGTTTCTCAACTCCCTCAACCAGAAGTATTTTATCATTCTCTGATGTAACACAAATAAAACAGTCCAATTTAGGTGTGTGGCATCAATATGAACTGAGTACGCTGGACTTATTAAGCTAAAAATGAGAATATGTTTAGAAACCTTCCAAGTTTTCCCCCAAAGTACAAATTGGGCCAATTAAGCCCAGATTATTTATCCAGATTTTCATCTAAATAACTTCAGACAAGCATGTTATTATTCTCTTGCTATGTACAGTACATGTATGTTTGCATGAAGCATTTACTTCCACAAAATAATTACTGCACAAAAGAGGGAGTGTAGATTTATATACTCACTTTATATTCTAAACACTAACTAGTAAAGCAGTTAAAAGACTACCGGTAACTAACTTATCTGAACATTTCTTGAAATTGTGGCAAACTACTAAGGCTGAGCTTACCATGTTCTTCCTCTTGATGCAGCAAGAGGCAGGGACACCACACTTCTCAACACTCGGGCTGTTCTCAATGCACTGAAAATACTCATTGGAATCCCAGTCAAGATACCCATGTGCTGTGATTCCACAGCACTCAAACTGAAAAGATACAGTACTTTTGTCTTTAGAAAACAGTTTTTTACTTACTGAACATAAAAAAGCTGTGAAAAGGTTGCCTAGAAAATCATAGAATACAATACAAGATAGTCATTATACAGTATATAATTTATCTTTATCTTTAAAACCTACCAATTTTCACCATAAGTACTGTACCTCTCTCTGTAGGAAATCCACAAAGTTCTGTGTGTTCTGGCTCTCTCTGTAGTGTTCTATCAAGCGCTTGGACAACACACTTTCAATAATTTCACGTGACTTCCATGGGAATATAATGCAGGCAATGGCAAAGAGTAGCTCAGCGATGAGGAAGATGGTCAGGCTCCAGAAGTACTTAAAAGAAAAATACTTTGTTTCACATAAGACAAAAACAAAAAATGTTTGAAAACACCTAAAAGATTACCTCTTATCCCATCTTTGTTAGTGATATTACAGTTAATTCCTATAAATGGTTAATGCTAAAAATTAAGACATTTTTACTAAAAAATTAGTCATAGGACAAGACTCAACCTTTAGTTGGTCAGTGTGTAGCCAACACAAAAGATTTTGGGGTATCAAGGGGGAACCATGGATTCAAGGTTGAACATACGGGGTGCAGATCTAAAAAGGTTAAGAACCACTGGTCTACAGATATGGACTTCAGCTAATGAATGTGTCCTTATTAGGTTAAAACCCTCCTAGATAACATTACCCGACTTCACCTCACACCACAAGCACTGCACATTTACACGCAAAACTTACTACTGCACTAACCCGACAAAACACTGGGCAACTTTATCCGACTGCTTGCTTTACTTCATCCCTCTTCACCCTGTGACCATTATGCACATTCCTCCTCTAATCAGTGACTTGGCTACCTCCCAACCCAATTTCCCAACCACTGTACAGTTATGGACAAAAATAAATAAATACATAAAATTTGCAGGGAGTGAGGATAGGGGTGTAGGTGAAGATTTGGCATGTCACAACAGGGTGGCAGCGAAAAGTCTTCCCGAGCATTCAAGTTTTTATAGCATTTTTAAGGTTATTACGGTGAATTGAATTAATCACCGGTACAAGCATCTCCACATTACAAAATCCCAGGCAAGAGAAATTCACTCTTATGGAATTTTTAAATTATGACCAAAAAGTTGGGATAAAGAAAGAAAAGTCGCCCTTTTGGGATTTGGGTAAATTTTCAACAATTTTCTTGTTTATTATTTCGTATGGCTTCTCTGTGGTAGCCACAAGGTGGTTAGAAGGCTACTTACCTCTTCAGTTGCCAGCAACCACTACAACAATGACACTGCTCAGTTAGAATTCTTTCCCAGGTTGTGTTCAGTTATGCATCTGTGTTCAAGACTGTATTCACCCTTAAGAAATTATGGTTGATTTTTTAAGATTTTCTAAAGAAATAATTGCATTTCAGAACCAAAAATATTCACCAAAATTATAAAATTTATTGTGTAAACTCTCGGACAGAGTAGTAGCTACAGGACTGCTGGCGGGTGGCTCACCTCTGCAGCTAATAGCAGCCACCACAACAATGGTACTGGTCAGTTTGAATTCTTTCCTCAGTTTGTGTTCAGTTTATGCATCTGCGTTACTGTGAAACCTTATTCAAGATGAGTGGAAAAGACCAATCATGTTCAAGTAAAAGTAGTGTTGATAAAAGATTTCATAAAGGAATTGTATTGAACAATAAACATGATGTTTTAAGGAGGTAACTCCCAGTAACTCTGATCACAGCACTTCACCTCACCACCTCCTGCAGCACTCAAAATCATTTCTGCCGAGTTAAATCCGAGTGTTTTTGTGCATTTATTATCGTGTTACACCAGAATGACTGATTGTACATGGTTAAACTGTCTATTTTCATACATACATGTATATGTGCTTGTGTTGCAATTTTGGCCCTCAAAAAATTTCCGTACAAACGTATCTCAACTTATATAATGGGAATCAATGGGAAAATGGTTTCACATTCAGAATTCCGCATTACAGAAAGATTTTCAAGAATGAAACCGTTCTGTAAAAAGGGGGATGCCTGTACATAATTGGTAGTGTAAGCTGTACCTGCCTCATAATCAAACTGAAAAACTCAATTTGTGTTGTGAAAAGAAAATCGAATACTTTTAACCACCACCTCCATGCAGCGGTGCCAAATCTCCACCCACCCACTGTCCCTCCCTTCTATTTTTTTTTCACAACTATTCAATGACTAACTCTGGCTGCAGACCTGTTACACAGGGTACAGGAATAACAGAACAGTCCTGTACTAGTGCAATACTGTATTCTTTTCACCAGTCTTTCATTTCACAAACTTTTTCCTATCCATAACTCTAAATAATAACTTGTCATACTCACGAGTTTTAGTAAGCAGAGGTTTTCTCGAAGAGCTCCAACACACCCGGCAAATGATACTAAAAAGATGATACCGCCAAGTGCCACCATGACCCCTGAGAGGTCTGTTATGACAATGTAGGCAATTTCCACCGACTTAAGGCCATGTAAATCTTGAGCTGTGAACACGACACCATACAGACCAACAGCCATGAGGAGCATCCCAAATAACTGAAAAAAAAATTAAAAATTGAATAAAAAAAACATGTGGAGATTTGATATAAGATTTCTAGACTTTATCCTTGTGTACGTGTTTGGTTTACATGGTATGCCTCGTATCCAGTCTGCCTTTCTGTTGTACAGTATTTTGTAGTCAGTAGTGCACTCCATTATACTGTAATACTGTACAAGTACTGTATTTATTATCACCCAATACAGTATATATAAAATAAAATTATATCAGCGTGTTTACCATAGTTTATTCAAATTTACTTATATTCGTACCACAAATACTGTAATGTGAAGAAAGGCCTCAATTTGTCAGAGAACACGCTGCGTACTTAAAATAAAAAATATGGGGAGGAGGCCACCCTTAATTAAAGCTACACATGTCCTGGTAAATGGTCTTGAGAGCTGGTGGATTTTTCCATCAATTAGTGCTGTAAGCCAAATGCCGATTTTGGTAAGTTTCATATTATATATATATATATATATATATATATATATATATATATATATATAGTGACCCTCGTTTAACGAACACCTCGGTTAACGTAATTTCGATTAACGAACTGCCTTCCATAAGGATCTTCAATTCGGTTAACGAAAAAAAATTCGCTTAACGAACTTCTTACGAACCGACCTCAACATGTTTTCGCTTGCACTGACCGGGCAACCAGCTTTAGTATCAGTCCGCCAATACATTAATCGGTTCTAGGGCTTAAATTCCTTACTATTTTTGTAAATATCAAGAAGTTTATACTATTCAATAATTTTAAAAGTTTAATATTCAATTTTTTAGTCATTTTAACAATTATTGAACAAAATTGAAGGTAAAGTGACTAGTTTAATGCGCGGCATCCAGCCTCTTAACACAGCAAACAGGCGTCAGTCTCTCTCTGTTTTCACTGGAGGTAACATCTTGCTTGAGACTCTCTTCAACTAAACGCTTTTTTTCTGTGTTTCCAAGCAAATTATTGGTCATTTTGAAATATATTTTATATATTGACAATATATAATGCAGTGCAGCGTTGATTTAAAGAAAATAATCTTGAATTAAACCAGAGAGCTAAAATTTTATGGGTGAAATGGCACCATGGGGTGACTTCTCTTCCACCCCAATGCCTTCTCTTCTTCCTTCTCCTCCACCCCCATTCTAAATCCCATCATCATCATCATCATCCAGGAGCCTTCTACATACACACCTCAAAGTAAGTGAACTTTTCTACCATTTTTGTTGAATTTAGGAAATTTTCGGTGAGCTGGAACCAATTACCCAAAAACCCATTGAAACAATGGTTTCGGTTAACGAACGTTTCGGTTAACGAACGACCTTCTGGAACGGATTGAGTTCGTTAACGAGGGCACTAAAAGCAATCCAAGACTATGTTATATTTCACACAAAGCCTGTTCATCGAGCTGATGGCACCGTGAACCTCCCATTGGGGATTGCCTGTGCCACTATGTGGTGGGAGTAGCAAACTTCTACTGCACAAATACTGTAGTTGTTTTCTAAGTACCGCTAAACAGCGCTAAAGATAGCAGGAGTTCATCATATAAAATGGTCTTATGGCTGAATAACCTCAATAAATTTATGAAGATTAATTTCAATATTTACATTTATATACATTTTGATCATTAAAATAAAATAATCTAATCTAATCTAATCAATGCGGTTTGAAGGAGGATTTATTAACCAAGGATAGTGATCGGTGGCTTTTCCTTGCCGTGCTGTTTGTAAACAAACATGTTGAGGAAATGGAAGTCTCAACCCCACAAAAGAAAAGGAAGCAGACCAGACTTTATTATTGGTGGATGTCATTGAAGAGAAAAAGTTAATATTGAATGGCTGCTTGAAGGCTTTCCTGAACAATAAAGGCAAAAAGAGGGGGTTATTTTTCGTTATCAACCCATGACCTTTTTACAATATTTTTTCTTACCATTTAGTAGATCTCATCGAGTAACGAAATAATATACAGTACTTGAAGTAAACGGCCCATTCCTAAATAAATGCGATATTCGCGATTTATTACTTGTAAAAATCACAAATTTTTCCAAGTCCCAATTTGATGTTATGGTGACTCACAGCGTCGTTCTCATTTTGTTAACCACCCATCACCGTTTTTTAGGTTAGGTTACCTGACCTAACAGGCCACGTCCTAACCTCCTAACCTAACTAAAAAAGGTGATTTTCCCCAAAGATAAAAGTCAAAATCCTCTAAAACAGCAAGAAAACTTGCGAACAAATTTATTTTTCATGTGAAAAAAGGTGATGGGTGGTTAACAAAAAATAACCAAAGAAGGCATGGCTGGAAATCATCATGAGAGTCAATGCTGCATTTCCTGGTGTGGTGAGGCCAGTGGCAGAGTGTGAGACACGCTGATTGTCAGTAATGTCCAAGTCAAGAAAGATCTCTGCTATAAAGAGGGAATACACACAATATATTCACACTACGTATATTATATACGCTGATGTTGTAGTTGGTTCGCCATGGTATCAACTAACAGACAACTATTACGGGACTTAAAAGTGCTCCCGAGGTCTTTTAACTTCACAGAACTATTAAGGCCCTTAAAAGTTTTTTGTATGTACTATTAGTGCTTAACAGGAAAATGTCAGCCTTAACAACTGTTTGCTAGCACAAGTTTTGTGTATACTGGCCCAGGTGTTTTGCTAAAAAATAAAATATATACCCTGTATGTCTAGGATTATACCTAGTATTTCTCAAAAGCAAGGGTCGGATTATGCATGAGGTACTGTACAGGTATACCACGAAAACCGACGCCCTATAACGGCTGAATCACATAACCGACAATCACATATATGTGTGAAATACCCCGCAAGTTTAGTCGATACCCCGGAGATCCGATGATCAGGAGAGGAGCAGCAGAACTGTTTTGAATTTGGTGGGTGCATGATGTGAATTATTGTCACAAGAGGGCTCTGTGTGCAGCCTCTGGACTCAGCCTCTTGACTCATTTCTGCCTCTTTACACTTGTTTACACTTACCATGTGTCTCTGACTTTGTGTTTTTCAGTTATTTCAGACTTCGTGTGTTATGCAATCATGCCTAAACTCCTCAATGATATTTACTCTTGTGTTGCCCCTCATAGGGGCAACTTGATGTGATGTAATAAGGCATAATAAGAGTGGTGATGGACAAGCAAAGATTGGTAGACTTTCTCTACCATCCTCAACACAGGTAAATAATACAGGTAGTCTCAATTTATGCTTTACATTTCTTTTTTAATGTTTATTATGGTTACTTTATATGTCTACTTTATTTTCTTACTTGACAGTGTACACTAGATATATCAAGGGTAGATGCGAGTTTTTGGAGAGCAGCCAGTCCCTAATCCTTGAATTTGCTAAATTTTTATGGGATTAATTGCTTCGATAACCATTGCTTCACTACCCAACAACTTTTCACGGTCACTATATGCATCAGTTAATGGGGTATGCCTGTACAGCATATGAAAAAATCAGACTTTTTTACAAAAAAATCAAGGGTCGGATTATACAGTAGATAGGCTTATACTGTACACAAGTACTGTACTATGTAGGCAGCTATCGAGCAGGGAGGTACTACCAACTGGGAAGATATTGGAAGCATAATGTGTTGTCTAATGGTAGACCCTGCTGCCATATGGCATCATGAATATTGTGACCAAGTCCCAGTTTGCTGATCTGTCTTTCTGCCTCATTTACATACAATTGCAGGGTCTCAATTGTTTCTCTTACTATTGACAAGACAACATACCGTACATATAGCGTTTCTAACTATTGATTATTATTATTTTTTCTTTATTATCATTATTACAGTGTTGTTATTATTATTTTTGTTGTTATTATTATTTTATTTTACTTTTTATTATAAATTTTATTTACTATGAATTACAATTATTATTATTAAATTTTCGCCCCCCAGGCCCCGATGTGGGTCAGTGACCTGTGCCCAGGTGGGCTAATCCCCTTAAAAAAAAAAAAAAAAAAAAAACCTAGGCTTAGCATACTGGGATCAATCAATCAAAAGTGCCATCCTCATATCTAAGGAATGGCGACCATACTCCTCCACGTTTTCAGGCTGTTTTTACCAATCTTCTGAGAGTTTGCATTTGTCTGGGAACCCAGGTTTTAATTTCATTCATCCTTCCTAGTCTCTGCCTTCTTCTGGAACTCCTACCCTCAACTTTCCCAATTAATATTTCTGCCATTGTCCTCTCATCCTTAACTATATGACCAAAGTATAAAATTTTCCTTATTTATAAATAAACATATTTCTTTTGAAATTTCTGTAAATCTTAGTTCAGTACAGGTACTTCTTTATTTGTATTCCTGTCAATGTGCCTTATATTCAACATTATCCTAAAACACCACATTTCAAAGGCCTCTCCTCTTTTTGGTGTCTGCCGAAAGTGTACATGCTTCTAACCCATACGTAAGGGATACTGACATGTTATTGTTTGATTAGGAACTTTAGGTTATGTTGATATGGGATATTTTCGTATGTTTCATATGCACAAGAATGGAATGCAAGAAACACGAAACATCCAATGATGATGGCCACCAGCCCCCACAGCTAACTTCCACCTAAACTTTCCAAACTTTTAAAAATGTTAAGAATTGCTTTAGACATTATGGATTGCTCCTCATCTGAACACCGAAAACCCCATCACATACTAAACACTGAAAGGCTATTCTTTGTAGGGCCAAGCGGAATTTTATAAAAAGAAAGACCGCAGTCCTGACTAACTCATCCTCAAGTAAATACTTCTGGTCCTTAACCAAAAACATCTGTAATACCGGTATACAGAAAATCATTGCCATTTCTATAGCAAATAGGAAATAGTATATAGTATACAGTGTACAGTATAGAACTACAGTACTAAGTTTGTACTGGTACTCACCGATGGGCGGAGGTGGTAGAGCGAGTGTGTGGTGGGTAGTTGAGCGAAGGCGGAGGATGGCGGGAGGGGAGGAGTGTGGCGAGTCACTGAGACTCTGCGGCTGC